TCTAGGCGCAGTTCGGCGACGGGGGGGGGCATTTTGCACTTTCACTGCTTCACTACTTCCGGTTTACAAGTCTCACTCTGGTGAAACTTGTGAACTCTTGTGAAGCTGGAGCAAGCTCGTCTAGCCACCATGGTAAAACGTGTCAACTCAGTAAAGGGCTATCTAGATGGATCGACACAAAAGCAAAATGCCCTCCCATCGTCGCTGATGTGGTCCCACCCTAGTTGAGATAGATAGCAGGAGCCTCAAAGTATTCTGCGACGATCAGTTCGTTTTAAACATACAAAAAAAGTAAAAAATTGTAAATCAAAGGATAGGAGAAGGAGAAAGAAGTGAGAATAAAGATAATGCTGTTTAAAAATAATCACCAAAAAATAAATCTCAAAAACTCAAGCTCACTCAAAACTCGTTGGGAGGGCATTCTCGTGTTCCTTTTTCATTTGAATTAAGAAGGCGTCAACAAAATCGTCGCCTTCTCCTTGCGGTACATGAGTCCCATTAGCGATTTCACGCTTCCTGAAATAAGCCATGTTATATGAGCTCGACAATTCGGCGACGGGGGGTCATTTCGTACTTTTGCTACTTCCCATCTACGTGCTACTTCCCATCGACCCATCTAGACAGCCTCTTCTCGAGTTGACAGGTTTTACCATGATGGCTTGACGAGCTTGCTCCAGCTTCACAAGAGTTCACAGGTTTCACCAGAGTGAGACTTGTAAACCGGAACTAGTGAAGCAACGAAAGTGCAAAATGCCTCCCCCCCCCCGTCGCCGAACTGCGCCTATGTGTTCATCAAAATCCTTATCAAATTGAAATCTTCGCTCTGCGCGTACCCGCAAGCACATGATGTTGAAATATCAATCCTGTGGCTCAAAAGTGAGTAGCACGTGACAGAGAAACGCTGTTGTCAACTCTCCCAGCCTGCCTTGTTCCGCCCACGAGGACTAGCCCCACCTTCTTCATTTCACTATGATTATGAGTTCACACTGGTTTGTGCACTCTCGTCATTTCGTTTCATTTGCTTCTGTGCACTCATTGTCTCTTCATCTATGCTCCATAAAAGCTAGTTTTACATAGGACAAAAGTGTCCTACTTTAAACGTTTTTGAGAGGGATCTTCATCAGAGGGGGGGGGCATATTTGGCTGTTGGAGGCAAGAGGTTTGTTAGGGCGTCAGAATATTTTTGATAGCAGATTTTTTTCTTTTACACGCGCTCTCCGCTTTGTTGGGGAAACTCTATTAGGAGGAGGTCTATTGCGGAAAATTCAGGAGAAAAACAACAGGATGTGCCCTGCTTCTATCTGATCCTTGGTTTTCCTCTACTCGCTGGGGTAGTTCGAACTTATGCGCATACCTATCAGCTATGACAGTCATTCCATTGTTGCATTACACTCATACATCAACGCTAATCGCACACCTTTGTTCGATTTGACTTCGAATAAAATCGAGCACGGCGTTCACTGGCTTCATTATACGCTCCACTCGATGTCTGAGAATTGGCCAATTCACATTCCAGTCGTCAATGAAAAAATCGAAGAGCGATAAATTCTCCATAAGATCATCCAGCGTCTTCTTTAGAGCAAAGAATTTCTCTTCCTCGTCCTGTAAAACAAATTTACTAGTGCTATTTACTTGGCCATTCACCAAGTTCCCCAGTATTTTATTGTGAAAATGCAGATGGCAGATTCCATGAAATAAACGCGTTATCAAGATTGAAGCACATTCAGCTAATATCTAATAAATAGAATTTCTCCTTGTGGACGTAGTTTGGTCTGCATTCTGAGAGGTTGTCCCACTTTCGTGGCTCGACACTGACTAAGAGGGTACTGCTCCGCCATAAGACGAAGGAATGTCGCCAGTGGAAGTTGCCCCAGCTACCTGTGAATGAGATGTGCTGGAAGTCGTTCCCTGCAGGACCAACCTGTCGATTTTCTCACCTTTTCACACGATCTCATAACCTCGCATTCCTTGTCTCAGGCCTCTCTCCCATGCAAAAGTGCCATGGTTATTCGGACACCACTTCAATCCTTGGGTCTTTTGGGACGTTTCCGGCTTTTTTCTCCGCTTTTTTCGTTGGTAAGTTAATCAGTGTCTATTAACATATAAATTCATGTTTAGACTTCACAGCTTACGACTGAAAATCGCGCAATGCTTCTTCAAGAGATGTCCTATCTGAGCTGTCATATACCTCCTCTCCCTGAATGTTCGGAACATTCATGAAGGAAGAAGAGGGCAGTTATTCGTTGGATGCTCAATGACGAACTACTGAAGCGAAAGTTCAAAATTACAGAAAAAACTTATCACAGCTGCTTGCCTTTTCGAATCGTTCAGTGAATAACATTCTGTTGATGATGTTTCCAACCAGTAACTCGAAATTCCTGTGAGCATTAATCGATTTTCCTTCGGCCTCTAAACGTTTGTCCAGCTTCTCACACCTGCAAATTTTCTCAGTTATAGTCCAACCCAAGTAACTCTTCTTCTTCTTCTTCCTTTAGTGAGCTAAAATTCATTATATTAGGGTGTCCACAAAGTTCGTTGGCCATTCGTTTTTTCAGAGCTGGTAAAGATATCTCACCAAGTTGAACTTACCGGTCCATGATATAATCTCCATGCATACCCACTACCTTTCGCCAACGATCGGGTAGAGAGGCAACTCCATCCTCCCAAAAGCTGGCCGGCCGCGACTCGGCCCAGTCCTCGATCACGTCCTCGAGGTCGCGCTCGTTCTTCAGCTGTTTTCCGTCCAAGAAATTTTGCATGGACCGGAAGATGTGGTAATCGCATGGACTAATGTCCGGGCTATACGGTGGATGCGTGATCGTCTTGATGCCCAGCCTGTCCAGGACGGCCTGAGTATCTCTCGCTTTGTGGGGGCGCGCGTTGTCTCACAAGGAAGGATACCAACTCGTCCTGGCCATTCAGAATGAGATGTATACTCCTAGGAGCGTCTCCGGATGCTGATATCAGATCTGACTTCCAAATCTGCTAAACGATTCTGGGTGGAGAGTTACGGACCTTTTTTGCTACCGTGCTTAACCATTGCGGTGCGACCCCCTGCCCATGCTTTGCGCTCGTAAACCCCTCGTGACCCAGCTGCCGCCGTGGCTCGATGGCGCAGCAGGTAAGTGGATGGCTTCATAGTAGTGAGACGGAGGTTCAAATCCTTGATGCATTTCGTAGTTTTGCTTTTTCTTGAAACGCATGCTAAACACTTGGGAAGTAGTTTTGCGTACCTGTCCGACCACCAAGACCCCTCCCTGCTTCTTATTAGGGCCTATGTGCGACTTTTCAGGGGTTTTATTTTAACTTCAGTGAAAGCATTCATTTTGATGGTGTTGGCGTGACAGCTTCATTCGAGGCATATATTTTCGTATTTAATGGGAAACATCAAAGGCTTGGTCCACGATCAGGAATAAAGTTGGAAATATGGTGTCGCGAGGGTAGTGGTCCGCAAGGAACAACCTTGTACTGGTTTACGGCGAAAAAATTGTTAGGGAGGGGTGCTATAACGCAATATAGCTCCAAAGAGGACACTCCTTTACCAGTGGCTCGGTCTCCAGACTCCGCCTTTAAAGCCCAATGAAAACGAAGCTGCAGGACGAAAAAGCATGAAAATCGTAAGCTCACTTGTAAAGTCGTAGAGTTCTTATAGTGAATAAGCTGTGTGGATGGGCGTAGTGTAGGAGATGGAGCTCACTGGGCACGTACAAAGTGGCTTGAAATGGGGTTCTATCTAATTGTAAGGCGGGTGACGAGTTTTTTCTGCCTTTTTTCATTACCGAGTTACACAGCACAGCGTCTAGTCTATGCGAACCCCTAATGCACTATCTGTGATTGCGATTTATCGCAGGTTGTGCCTTTAAGCGAGCACAGTGTGATATCCCAATACAAAATGGTTAGAGCAAAAAAGTTCTTCACAGTGTGAGCTGCGAATAAAAAGAATTTCGCTGCAACCATTATTCTCACAGATTCCCTCCAGATGATATGTAATGCAATATTGGAGAGAACTCTCGAACTCGTCTGGATGAGTGTCAAGGTAACCTGCTGAATACCAGGATTAAGAAAGAAATTGTTCAAATCTAGATGCTCTGAAGGGATTCATCGTTATCTTCAGATGCCCAGAAAGGATCCGTATGTTCGTCCTCCACGAAGCTCCCTCGCAGTCGATTATACGGTTGTAGTACAGTGCGTCGCGCACAATAGGATAGAAACTCTCTGCAATCTTCTTTTCTTTGCGGGATAGTGATCAAACAATATCGCAAGACCCGAATTCTTTCACTAGGTGTGATAGCACCAGAGTCCGGCAGAACATTTCCAACTATGGTGGACAGGTCGCAAAGATGTTGGCTGATATTGTGGGCGTGAGTGAAGAGAGCTACCAGAGATGACGAATTCTTTCGTTGGCCACACACGTTGTCATCCTATAGGATGATGAAATCTCGCAGTTCACGAGCTCCAAGCAGATATGCATGTGTATTTGGTCCCTTGCTTGAGCTAGTTAGGCAAAAGTGTAAGTTTCCACGAAAATCGTTCGCGGGGCTCAATAAGTAGCAGGGAGGGGTCTTTGGTGGTCGGACAGGTACGCAAAACTACTTCCCAAGTGTTTAGCATGCGTTTCAAGAAAAAGCAAAACTACGAAATGCATCAAGGATTTGAACCTCCGTCTCACTACTATGAAGCCATCCACTTACCTGCTGCGCCATCGAGCCACGGCGGCAGCTGGGTCACGAGGGGTTTACGAGCGCAAAGCATGGGCAGGGGGTCGCACCGCAATGGTTAAGCACGGTAGCAAAAAAGGTCCGTAACTCTCCACCCAGAATCGTTTAGCAGATTTGGAAGTCAGATCTGATATCAGCATCCGGAGACGCTCCTAGGAGTATACATCTCATTCTGAAGGACGAGTTGGTATCCTTCCCTTGTCAGAGCAACCACGGATTTGCAAGTTTCTGGGACAAGGCGGCAGCTTTCACCTTGACCTCCTGCAATTCTTTAGAGAGGGTCTCTGCCGTCACTGTGGCATTGTTGGGTAGGATGCTGTAGTGGACGACGCCGTGCGAGAGAACCAGAAACCTCGGCATATCTTCGATGCCATAGTTTCCATTGGTGAAGCGAGTCCACCATTTTGACATCCAGTTCTTAGAAGGGGTGTTATTACCAAACTGCTGACGCATCCTGGTCGTGGCCTGACGTCTGGAGATGCCCAGGTTGTAGTAGTCCAGCAAACATCGGCGGTGGTGGTGACTATCACTCATCTTCACTGCTTTATTGTGGGAAGAGCAGGAAAGGAAATTTAGAGCTAGCTAGCTCAGAAGATAGCCCATCGCGAGTACTTTCAGTATTGCGAAATCATTATGCAAAATCACAACGCGTTGCGTAACGCGACGCTGTTTACAAATGGCCAACGAACTTTGTGGACACCCTAATATTAGGTTGTCCGGAAAGTTCTTAGCGTTTTGTGCACCTATTTTTTGTACATTCACTGCTGATTAAAAACTCATTCTGCCTTGCTTCTCAGTAGCACATCCTGTAGAGAATTTCTTGCGCTATCTGATGGTATAATTGCCGTTTCACCATTGCTTGATAAACCCCTTTTTTCAAGATTTTTTCAAGCATGTGAAAAGAGCACTTCGGACGATTTTTTTCTTCGACTATAAATTGGGGCAATCCGCAATCGAAACAGCTCAACAAATTAACCAGGTGTGGGGGCCCAATAGTGCTAGAGAAAGCACTGTGCGGCAATGGCTCAACAAATTTCGTTCTGGAGATTTCAGCCTTGAAGATGAACCTCATAGCGGTCGACCTAAAGCAATATCTGACGAGGATTTTAGGGGATTTTGGAGGCTGACCCATCCCAAACAGTTCGAGAGATAGCAGAAGAGCTAGGCCTTTGGCAAATCCACTGTTGCAGATGGTCTGGAACGCATTGGGAAGGTGAAAAAACTCGACAATTGGGTGCCCCACAATCGGAGTGACCGGCAGGAATCGGCACGTCTCGAGGTTCCTTCTGCATTGCTTTTGCGCAGCAGAAACGACCTGTTTTTGGACCGAATTGTCACCTGTGATGAAAAATGGGTCATGTATGATAACAGGAGACGTTCCGGACAGTGGTTGGATTTCGACGAACCACCGGTAATTTTCAAAGCCGAACCCTCACGAAAAAAGATTCTGGTCACGGCTTGGTGGTCATCGGCTGGTGTGATCCACTATAACTTTTTATCACCAGGCCAAACCATCACAGCAGAACCCTACTGTGAAGAAATCGACGAATTGTACCGAAAATTTTGTCAGATGCAGCCAACACTTATCAAAAGAAAGGGTCCGATTCTTTTGCATGACAACGCCCGCCCACACGTTTCACAAATCACTATCCATAAATTGAACGAATTGGGGGTTGAAGTTCTACCTCAACCGCCATATTCTCCAGACCTTTCACCAACCGACTATTCCCTTTTCAAACATTTTCAGAACTTCCTTGCTGGAAAATACTTCATCAATCAGGACCAGGCAAAAAAGCCTTCGTGGATTTCGTGAATTTTCGACCACCCAGTTTTTTACTTTGATGGGATTTCTCGACTGCTGTCACATTGGCAAAAGTGTGCTGATTCGAATGGTGCCTATTTCGATTAAATCCGATGAGTATTAAAAAAGTTACGATCGTTTAAAGTGAAACACCCAAAACGCTGAGAACTTTCCGGACAACCTAATACAATAAGCTCCACCTCCTTCTCTTGTTGACCGCTTGCTTCCAGTGTGATTGTACAGCCGTGTTCGCTGTGCAGATGTTGGAGCGTTTCAAGGGAGAGGGTGGAGTTTGGTGGCACCACCAGCCTATTCTCCACCAATTCTCAGAGCAGGTAGGTGAAAATTGGTGAAGAACAGGCTCGCGCGGCTCCAACCCTGCCTCCCTGACGCGCCCCAGCATCCGCAGCGGACATGACTGTAGACAAGTCGACTCACGCAATTCAAATCAAACATAATCCGCTCTTCAATGATGTTCCTCCCCAGACCAAAGTTGCGAAGGGTATGTAAGGCGAAACGACGCTGTTCCATCCAAGGCGTCCCATTTGAGACGATGATTCCACGCCCTTCTGAAAATACAATCTTCGTAGATGACGGGATCCGTCACTTGAACTTGCTCATTTCAAGTAGTGTTTCTCTAGGATCATATAGTACCAATTGGAGGCCCTTACTCTGCAGTGACAGTGGAATGGCGCAGCTGTCGGCAGCCGTATGCTACTAGGGTGAGTTGGGTGACCACCTCCATCCCTTGGGCAGGACAGCTCGTCCGGATCGCCCAGCATCATGGTGGTACTTGACTGGCATGCATTAGAAGGATGCAAGCATGGACGTTGAATCGCATACGGGTTGAGGTGTCCGGTCCTGAACTTTTTTCAACTCCTTCCGCCTCCTGTATATTCCTCTTCGACGTAGAGATGTAGGTCGACCAATCACGCCAGCCGAAATGTTGAACGATCTGGACGAGTTATCCGGCTCAAAATGGCGGGCCACGTAGGTTAGGCAGCACTCATGGCCAACGCGCTCCGGTAGCAGAATGCTGCTGACAGCTTGCGCCATTCCACTGTCTCCTCTGACACGGATTCATGCGACATATTTAGCGAGTAAAGAAAACTGTTGTAACCAGAATGCATACCACAACTGACTTCTTATCATAACGGGTAGGTAAGGGAGATTCCGACTGGCGAACGCCGAGCCTTTTTTCACCATCGCATCAACGGCTATAGAGTAATCGCAGATGTGCACGGTTGGCTTGGGCCCGAACCAAAAAGTATAAACCGGACCGTATTCCTCAAAAAATTTCAGACATTATAAAGCGTTTATACATGCTCCATAGGTACTATTTCTCACACCTTCGCCCATTCCCTAGTGGCTTCCACAACGGCTCTTCTTCTTGATGATCATTTTGTAAAAAAGTTGAGGAACATTGCCGATGAAAGGCAAAGGCAGTGGACCTAAGCTGCATTTTCATCAATAGAGCATGATCAGACATTCGTAAAAGAAACTTTGAAGTGACACTCATGTTAGTCCAGTACCCGACTAGTTTAAGGGCAAAGCCCGCGATCATTCGAAATCACCGAGGTGGTTTGCAAATAGACGACAAGGTTCTGAGTAACTCGATAGTGAAGAAAAAAGCAGGAAAAAAACATGCCAACTGCCCTAGATAGAACCCCATTCCGATCCCAGTTTGTACGTGCCCATTAACTCCATCTCCAACACTACGCCCTCATCCGCACAGCAGGGGGGCATTTTCGTACTTTCGTTGCTTCACTAGTTCCGGTTTACAAGTCTCACTCTGGTGAAACCTGTGAACTCTTGTGAAGCTGGAGCAAGGTCGTCAAGCCATCATGGTAAAACCTGTCAAGGCGAGGCTGTCTAGATGGGTCGACACGTCGATGGGAAGTAGCAAAAGTACGAAATGACCCCCCCCCGTCGCC